ACTTTTTTGCAATTACGATAATGATTTTGAAAACAACTTGTACCTGACCACCATGCTTTCAATCCATAGTCTTAGAAAACCAATAAATGGGCCAAACGCTTCCATGATATACGCATAATCGCCTCCCGATTTAGTGATCAGGGTTCCAAGTTCAGCGTAAATATATGCACCGAGACCGCACCAGATTCCACACAAGACCCAGATAATCAAGGAAGCACCAACAGAACCAGCAGCTAAAAGTTAATTTCGTTTACAAGACTTTTTTCCAGCTCTAGTTTTATGGCTCAGTTGAGGCTAACCTTCTTGAACTCCTGTTGGGCTCACGAATATTCCCGATCCAATGATACAACCGACAATCATTGTTACACTGTTTGTCAGCGTGAGAGTCCTGGCCAGTCCTTTGCCCGTGTCCTAAAATTAATTTCATCAGAAGCGCTAAATTAGCGAATGTGTTTGAATGTGTCATTCAAACCTCTTCATCTACACTTGCGAGAGCACTTCGCTTTTTTCCTGATGAAGCTACCATTGGTTTCATTTCACTGTTCTTCCCCTTATCCGTGTCATCGTCGTCGCCGGCAGAATCCATGTTTAGTCCTGACCGGCGCTAACTACCTGGGTCTTTACACACTGTAATGTTTAAGGTTAAATCATGTTGTAGAGCAAATCATAAGCGGAGCAATAGACACAAGACTAATTTATACTAATTACTGCATTTACGGAGGAAAGTGACGGTAGTTCGTGGTCTACAGGAGGTAAGAGAAAAGCATAAAAATTAGTTCTTTCTCTTTTGAATTCAGGTCCATTCTAAGATTCTTAATTAATTTAATCTGTGTTTGGAACGGTATTAAAGTCCAAACATGAGAGAGCTGGAGAAAATTTTCTCAAATTAAAAAGAGAAGAAGCCAATCACTAGACCTTGATTTCATTTTACAATAGATTTGAATTGAAAAAATAGAATCCTTGTAAAGAAGGAAGATGTTAGAGCTTCTAAGAAAGGCTGTGAGAGGGATATCATTTCAAAAATTTCATTATACAAACTGAGTTTAATTTTTAAGATAAAATCCTAAGTTGACAGCATCATGATCGTATAAAATATCTT